AAGCGAGCGCGCAGACGGTGTACGGTCAGCAGTGGGGTGCGCTGATCGTCGACGAAATCCACGAGGTCCGGACGTTGAACAAGTCGTACATGGCCATTCGCATGGCGCGGAAGCAGTCGGGGATGACCATCGGGATGTCCGCGACTCCGGGCATAACAAATGCCATGGTAAGTGACCGAGTAATGTGCCTGCTATGATCGCTAACCAAGTTGCAGGACTTCGCGGCAATTGGTTGGGTCCTCGGGATCAAGGCGTTCAGCGAGGGGGCCACTGAGCTGCTTCAATGGAAGCGCAATCTGGCCGCGGCGAAGCGTCGAGACGCAGCCTCGATGAAGCGCGACGAGGAGGCCTTGAGCAAGCTGAAAAGCGTGCTAACGGGCAGCATGGACGCAGAGGCGGACACGATGATCAAGGGCGAGTACGTCCCTATGCTGGAGAAGACCATGGAGGTTTGCCGTCGGCTGTTTATCGGCCACATCGCCCGCCGCACTTTGCGGTCTCTGGACTTCGCGGGGCAGGCAATCAGCGGATTGCCCGACTACCACGAGATCATCTTGCCGTTGAAGATGTCGGACGCGGAGATGGACCTCTTCGAGAGGCTGGCAGAGGAGTTTGCTGAACGGTCTGAGAAGGGGAAGGGACGGGCGGGCAAGGTGAGTTCATTCTGTGTAGTGAAATTGCGTCATCGGCGCACTTGGGCGCAGGTGCGCCATTGGCACACCCGTCACAGGAGCACTCGCGACGCGGGTGCGACAGCGCGGCGGGCGAGTGCGCCAATGACGCACTGCTCGCAGGCACGCTCGTAACGCAGATGCAGCAGCGCGGCGGGCGAGTGCGCCAATGACGCACCTGCGCGAGAGCATTCAGCTCGGTCCGGTAATATGCAGTCCACGGAGCGCGGTGCGCGTGTGCGTCATTGGGGCATTATGGGACTTCTGTACGAGGCCGCGGCTAGGTTGTCAGGAGCCCACGCGCGAGTGCGCCAATGGTGCATTTTCGATCGTTGATGATCCGATGGCTGATCTTTTAACAGGACTTCTATCTGGGTTTCCGTCGCTCTCTGTCGCACCCGGCAAACTACCCGCCGTCGGGGTGGAAGATTCCGCAGACAAAGGAGGAGTTCGATGTGCAGCCGTCGACCAAGTTGAGGCTCGCCATCACCATCATCCTATATCATCTGAAGAAGGATCAACCGGTGCCCCTGCGTCGCAAATACGGAATCTGCTTCAACACCGACGAGATGGGTAAGTACCCTAAGTGCAACAAGCTTTGGCCGGACGAGGGCTACCAGTACAGATCACGAGGTGATCCCGACCACCCCGACAAGATCGTCATGTACTCCGCGTTCCCGGCGAACAACGCTGTCTTGCTGCGAGTGAGTATTGTCAACTTGACTTCCGTTTCAATGGAGCTAATAATGACTAGGTCCTCGCGTTCTATGACATCAAGTACCTGGTTCTGAACGGCGACGTCCCGGCAAACAAGCGTCCGCTGATCATCGATCAGTTCAAGAACGGCGGTCGAGATGATCCCCGCGTACTTGTGATGTCGAGTGTTGGCATCACCGGCCTCAACCTCCCCGAGGCGTCCATCCTGATTTTCCTTGTAAGTTTCTTTATTGGTATGCGGAACAAACTAAACATTATGTCTCAAGGATACCACGTGGTCGGCACTTGAGGATGCGCAGATGACTGGGCGGCTCTGGCGGCTCGGGCAGTTGAAAGACGTCTGGGTATACCGACTTCTTTGCCTGAAGACCCCCGACGTCTACCTCAACATCATGAGTTACGACAAGTGGATCATGCACTCCGCGTTTGTGAAGGCTGACCCGCGGACTCGTAAGTACTTTTTAGGACATCTGGGGCACCAATCTCATCACATATAGGCACACTGCTGGGCGAGGTCGGTGAAGGCGACGACAATGCCAACGCCGATGACGCGGAGATCGACATCGGCGACGAGGACTCCGACGAGGGCACTTCGAAGAAGACGAAGAAGCGGGCCGCGCCGAAGGCTCCGGCGACGAGGAAGCCGAAGGCAGCCGCGACGAAGATCCCGGTGGAGCCGAAGGCGACCAAGAAGTCGACGAGCAAGGCTTCATCTTCGAAGTCCGGCAAGTCGACGGCGTCTGCGGGGCTGTCCACTGAAGGCAGTAATCCTGCCGAGCCCATCGTCGTGGAGTCCACCGAGGAGACTCCCAAGCCGAAGAAGACTGCGGGCAAGCCGCGCAAGAGGCAGCCGCTGAAGCCCGTTTCGCCCGAGACGATCGAGACCTCCGGCGACGAGGACGTGCCTCCGGAGCCGCGTGCGCAGAAGAGCAAGTCTCGCTCGATGACCCCAGCCCAACCGGAAGGCGAGCCGGCGGAACCGCAAGGCGAGCCGGGCGAACCGCAAGGCGAGCCGGCCCAACCGGAAGGCGAGCCGGCCCAACCGGAAGGCGAGCCGGGCCAACCGGAAGGCGAAGACGACGAGGACGTGCCACGCATGTCGCGCGAGGACAAGGGCAAGGGTCGCGAGGTCCAGCCGGACGAGATGGAGGTGGAAGTCGAGAAGGAATCTCCTCGCGAAATCCCGGCCGACGCAATCGAGGTCGACGAGGAGGAACCTACTCGGGACCATGCCGTCCCCAAGGGCGTGAAGGAGCGCATGCGGCCCCGAGGTGCCCCGTTGGGCCGCCCCAGCAGCGCGCTCAACGACCAAGAGAACACTCCGCGGGCGCCCGAACGCCGAAGCGCCCCGCCACCTTTTCATTGGCAGCATCACGACGGCGACGACAGCAACGACAGCGACGAGGATAGCGACGCGCGCCTGGGGGCTGCTTACCAGGCATCCCAGCGGGCTGGCCACGCGGCGGAACATAGCGGCTTGCAGGCGCCATTCACGCAGCGGCCGCGCCACAACAGTGAGGACGACGACTCGCGCGACGACAACGCCGTGGAGGCGGCTCTCCACTTCCCTCTTCGCGAAGAGCGTGCGCCGCATGCCGACCTTCTCCCGACGACCCCCCCCCGTGCCTTCCACTTCGACAACTCGCAGTTGAGGACCCCGCGCGCTGGCTCGAAGCGGTCGCCGGTGCGTGCCCCGCCGTTGGCCAACCTCGAGGAGGTCAACCACACGCTTGGTGATATTGCGCTACGCGATCAGGCCGGCGGTGAGCAGGACGTGCCGGACGTGCGGATGCTGGACGTGCCCCGGGATGGCTTTGCGATGGGGGACATCGAGATGGACGACCCCCCGCGCCAGAGATCATCCTCTCTCGGCGATTTGACGCCGTCAGAGAACGAGGGCGACGAACACGGTAAGTGTTGAGTGTCAATTTCTTCCTGCTTGATGCCATGGTCCTCCATAGAGTCCCCGAAAGGTCCGCCGAGCAAGAGGGCCCGGACCGAGCGCAAGCGTGCCCCGTCCAAGGCGTCGACATCGTCGAAGAACTCGGCGGAGTCATTGAAGAGGACCCGGAGGAAGCCAGCGTCGAAGAGCAGTACCTCCGGAAATGTCAACGTCCTCGACTACCTCAACGCGGAGGAGCGCGTGCCCGAGGGATCGGCAGCGGAGAAGTTGCGTCGCAACCCGAGTCGGCGCTCCCGCAAGTAAGTATATCCATGTCGTTTGTATCTTGCATTCCGTAGCGGACTTCGCGCGTCCTCGGTCACGCCTACTGTACAATGTATCACGCATCTCGTCGCCCTGTATATATCGCCCTGTATCTAATCGCAATGACATCGTACGCGTATTCTCGTAGAACGGTGGGCCGGCTTGCCGGAAAAGTGTGCGGAGGAGACAAAGTGCGCCATTGGCGCACTCCTACGCGCTGCGGCGCTCAGCAATACCTGAGGCCTCTTGTAGAGCGCGCCGTGGGTGCGCCGTGGATGCGCCATTGACGCATTTCCAGCGCGTCACGTATGGCCTTTGGCGGCCCTTGGCTGCCGAGCGCGCAGGAGGGTTGTGCGGGCATGCGTCATTGGCGTACTTGCGCGCGTGCACTAGCAGTGCCCCCACGTGGGTCCCATTATCCGCTGCCCCTCGTGCGAGGTGCGTCATTGGCGCACTTCACAGCGTTGCGTTACTGGCTTGGCTAGCAGTGCGGGCGATGCATGATAGGCGAGCTGGTTGGGGGTGTGTACGCCGCAATGCGCCAAAGGCGCACTTTGGGCAATCATTCCACTATAACTGCAGACGGATTGCCCTATAGTGAAGTGCCCTAAGCAGAGACCATGTAACTATAGATAACTATAACTATAACTATAGATAAGCTACTTTGTATGGTAATGATACAGTGACATGCAAATATTCTCGAGTGACATGCACATATTCTCGAGTGACATGCAAATATTCTCGAGAGACTATAGAGGGCGCGGACGACATGCGAGACGTAAACAATGCACGATGAAACGGGTCGTGACGGCGGGTAGCGTTCATGGAGAACTTCCCGCTAGATTGTATGTTTGCTTGGATCATCATACCGGCAGTGAACAAAGGAATGGACTAGGGACGTGGGATTAATAACTCGCATGGTAATGAATCTATTATCACGGTGATTTGGGAGCACTGTGCCAAATTGAATTGTAAAACATTATATTACATAATTATCTCGGATCAACATGAAGTTTGCACGTGGACTCGGCTGATGCTTTAGGAGTAACGTGTTGATGAGACAAAACCACGAGTGTAATGATTATCATATAAGAGCGTGCAGTCGACGGTTAGCGCGGCCTTGTGCGGTGGGCATGGATCACACGAGGCCTGGTTAGGAATTAACTTGTTCAGCCGCTGATGGCCATGGTCCTCGTACAACAACGTGGCCCACGCTTATCCACCGCAAGCTGGAAGCAAGCGGCATGCAGGGCACGCAGTATGTACCGCGGTGGACACGCATCGCCATGCTGAAGCTACTCGAGACATAGCCGAGGTAGGATCTACTTGAAATATCCGTCGTTGGGGATGCGCTGTCCTTGCCCACTCATCCGCCCACATCGACCATCCTTTGATCCCGTATAACCATGTCTCATCCCGATGCAGTCCTTACTCGAAGGGAATTCAACCTTCGTCATTTCAACAACCAAACTGATTATATTCTGGAGGACAAGAAGCGGGGGGTCAACAACGAATTCGACTTCGTGCGGGCCGTGCTGGCAGGTCGTTTTGACTTGGATGACGGTGTCGGAGAGCAGCGCATCTGGATCGACGCCCTGCAGGGACTAACGGAGGGATTCCGGTGCGATCACGGCGACGAGCCGGGTGACGATGAGTTCGTTCTCTCGCGGGATTACGATTCGGTGTTCGGTCACAGCGACAATCTACCGTACGCGGCCCCAATCTCGGTGTTTCCCGTCCCATCGTATCGAGATGTACTGCAGAAGCACATCCATATCAAGTACACGGTGCCGACCTCGGTGAGTGCTATTTTATTTGTGTTGGTGCTACAAACTAATGAAAGTGACGGTCCTCAGAGAGATACGACGGAGTCCGTAGACCTGGGGAGCATTCCGAACATCCCATTCGCCAAAGTCGGGGAACGTGGCCTCTGCAGTGTCATTATACCCCCTTCACCTAAGTCCAGGGGGGGTCAGCGTGCCCTCAGCTTGCCTTATATGGTAATTCCTTTTTGGGCCATTACCATATAAGGCAAGTGCTGACTTGGGGCCGCACCTACATGTCTCAGGGGATCTCGCGCGGGCCCGCGAGATCCCCTGCGCACCTCTCAACACCAGTTATGTGGACTGCGTCAAGACCAACATCCAGTACTGAATGTCAGGGGTCTGTGCACTGGCGCGACATCCCCTGGGACATATGCCAGTCCCATGTGCCATGCACGCACCACGCACCATGTGTTAGGGGATCCTGCGCACCCGCGCGAGATCCCCTAGAAAGGGTACGCGCGCACGACACATCCATGTACTCAAACATTGTACACATACAGTCTCCCAGGGGATACTGCGCACCCGCGCAAGATCCCCTAGAAAGGGTATGCATGTATGATACCCCCATGTACCCACACAGCGTACGCACATGGGCTCCCAGGGGATCCTGCGCACCTGCGCGAGATCCCCTGGAAAGGGTATGCATGTATGATACCTCCATGTACCCGCACAGCGTACGCACATGGGCTCCAAGGGGATCCTGCGCACCCGCGCGAGATCCCCTGGAAAGGGTACGCGCGCATGACACATCCATTTACTCAAACATAGTACACACAGTCCCCAGGGGTGCGCGAGATCCCCTACAAAGTATATGCATGTATGATACCTCCATGTACCCGCACAGCGTACGCACATGGGGTCTCAGGGGATCCTGCGCACCCGCGCGAGATCCCCTAGAAAGGGTACGCGCGCACGACGCGTCCGTGTACTCAAACGTAGTACACACAGTCTCCCAGGGGATCTCGCGCGCGTGCGCGAGATCCCCTCAAGCACATGTCAGCATCGCGAACCATGCCTTAGGTTCCTCAAAGTAACCTATTGTCTCCGGTACTGCGCGCACCATGTAACAGGGGATCCCACCCTCCCGCGCAAGATCCCCTTGGAGGAGTACTGCGTTTTGTAGTATGCGCACATACATTATTGGGATTCACGCGAGTGCGCAGCAACACCTCACTTCCCAATGCTCGAGAACATAATGCACGCACATGGTCTCAGTGTGCATGCACATTGCAGCCGCAGCATCTGAGACACGATAACAAGCTGTCAGATCAATCTGATCGATTGTGTGTGATGAAGTGATCGGTTCTGAGCGCTACAGATGTCCGTACATAGACACACACAAGGCTATCGCTAATCTGGGAATTGCCGATCACACCCCGATGTCCCATGTACAAACGACAGATCCGCTCAAAATTAGACAGAGATACAGATACTAAGATGCCTAGGACATGAAACGATTCCAGTCCGCGTTCAATTCAATCTCTAACATGTCCGCAAGGGCGATCGCTTCTGCCTCCCTTTTGTACAAGCCCATGTACTGGTCCATCACTGGCCATAACGTATCCATGAGGTTCTGCTCACATACGATCGCGTCGAAGCGGGCGCGCCGCTCATCCAAGTAACGCTCCAGAGCCTTAGGGTCCCAAACTTGATCCACGCGTATCACGAGTTGAGTGTCAGCCTCACAGGTATACGCCATGCGCTTGCCCATGAGCTCTAGTACCCTACCCGCGTACGGAGCCGCGAATTTGATGAATTTGGCCATGAACTCGGCCGACATGTAGTACTCGTGCGGGTTATTGTCAAACGCGGCACTCATCCTGTGCGGCCACGATGACTGCCGGTGCAGGCACAGTTAGTCTGAGGGTTACCCAGATACCGACATGATGGACACTCACCGCTACCGTGCACATTATTCCCAATCCGCGTGTCAAGCACTGCTCGCATGTCTCCGAGTTTGGACGTACGTCGCAATTGGCACTGCGGTGGAAGATGCACATTGCACACCGGTCGGCGCCATGCATCTGTAGGTAGCGAGTCAGCCCTGGACGCCACTGAGTACCTACAACTAGCAGGGGTCCGTACTGATTTTGGCTGTTCACGGCGCGGGCACGCTAAGTATTCACCGGCTTGAGAATGGTCAGTCCGCTAGTCATCAGGTTTTCGTGCAATTCCTCTGACAGGCCCTGTCAGGGGCTTCATAAGCGCTCAGAACGCTTCAGAACGCATCAGAACGGTTCATTTGGCCAGTCCTCAAGGCCACGGATTTTCGCAAATTGTTGTTGTCAGATAGAATTCTCAGACATCTTCAGAAAGCCTCAGAGTGGTCCAGACACTTTCAGACACTGCCTCAGCCTCTCAGTCGCATCAGACGTCATAACACTATCAGATATATTTCCGGTACTGCATACAACATTTCGACAGGTATGTTATTCAAACCGTCAACAACGGCGTTACCGCAGACTCAGGGTATATACGAGGGGTGTACAGACCGCTGTGTGTACGTCGAGAGCTCCTGCTTACCACTGTACTAGCTGGGCCCAGCATGCTCTTCATCCATCGCGTTCGCGATCGTGTGCGGGGGCTCGTCCGTCGGGAGTGTGCTATGAAGATCAGTGATACGGGGTGCGTCAATGTGGTGCAATCCTCACAGTAGCACGGCATGGGGGACGAGTTCGAGTGCAGGCGGCACTGGACACGGTCTCGAAGGTTCGCCTCCGGGACACCCACGAGCAGGGCGGGCTCAGGTGTCTCGCGCTTGACGTTGGCGGCGGCGTAGCTGCAGGGACAGCGGGCGGGCGTACGGGTGGTGACGCGTGCTGCTGGGGGGCAGCGAGCGGCCAGTGTCGTACTCCTCAGGGTCTGAATACGGCGCCGAATGCTCGAGCGGGTAGGGCGCCAATGAGTAGCCGTATCTTGAGCCTGGGGAGTAGACTGGCTCGGGCGAGCGCGACGGCGAGGCCGAGAGGGGCAGCGAGTGCGTTGAGCCAGAGGGATGCTTAATCAGCCGCACGACGGCATCACGCCAGCGGGAGGTGAGGTGGTTTCCGGTGGTGCTGACACATGTTCGAGTTGACGTTGAGTCTACGGTTGCACCCCGGGTAGCTGCACGCGAACGCTGCGGCGCAACACTCAATTTCATCATCAAGATGCGTGTAGATGTCATCGAGAAGGATACGTACGCTTCGCACCAATGTGGGTGTTGATGTGAATGTTCAGACTGCTCGGCCGGTTGAAACGCTTGCGGGCCTGGTCATCGGGTCAGGTCGAGGTAACAAACGGAGGGCACTCACTGAGAATTTCAGTTCGATATCTCCCCTCCTTCGTGACCATCCTCGCCCCCCGTCGGTGTACTTTGTGCGTCGCTGGAGCCCGTTGCGGCTGCTGGGCCACGCGATCGTGGGGTGCGTGGCGGGTCGATTCACGTGCCGACATCTCTTGCGGACCTGCGCGTACTGTCTTGAGGTAGGCCAGCAAGGAGGGATGGGCGAAGCAAAGATGAGAGGTGGCGACAAGGGTGCCGAGGTCGAAGGTGGACGTGGGGTGAAGTAGGGTGAAGTGCAGTGAGAGCGAGAGGGACGGTAAGTAGCAAGCGCGCGTCAGTGACGTGTCGTGGCTGAGGCGCTTAGCACTTCATCTGCGCCTCCGAGTCCCTCCTGGGCCTCCATATCGTCGCTCAGAGTCATGCACTTACCTTGCACTTACCCATGCGCCTGCCCGCTTGCTTGCTCGCACAGCCCCTCATCGTTTGGACACCCACCTGTATGTAACTCCCACCGGCTTACCCGCCCCTTTGACCTGCTCTGCCCTCCGCCAGCACGACCCTTCGTGACGAGGCAGAGCTCTGCCGGCCACTGCTCAACCTCAACTTCTACGGGACGTTCCGCGCGCTGCGCGCTTTCCGCCCGAGCGTGGACGAACCTGTGCAGAAGATCTGCGTCTCCTCGCGCTTCGCGGCACGTCTCGACATGGCCAGGGTGGTGGACGACTGGCGCGCGTGGCCACGGGTTTGGATCGAGCGAGAACAGAGAGTGGGGACGGGATAACGCAAACAGGACGTCGAGAGGATGCGCGAGATAAAGTGCGTGTACCCTATGATGCTGATACACCGCCTATGCCCGCCCTCCAACCTCTGCCTGAACAGTTGCAGCCGCACCCCTCACACGTTCGTGCTGTCAACGCGCCCCGGCTGGACAGTCCGCCGCGCAGATTTCGCCGTCGTGCTGGCTGGGGCGCGAGTGCAAGACCACCGGGTAAGTGCGCTCTTCACCTCGACGGGAAGTGCGTTCGCTTTATCGGTATCGAACATTATCGCGGCGTTGTCGTCAGTCGGTCTGAATGGTGCGCCAACGGGCGCACAGAAGTCACGGAATCGCATACTCTTGCGATCCTTGCGAAGATCGCGAACGATCCTGCTCACGCTCCATCAGCGGTCGGGATCCCCGTCGAGAACTCCGCAGATGAGACCATGCTAATCAACGTGCTGGAGGTGCGAGAACAGCAGATCAGTGTCGAGCTCCGGCAGAATGGACTCAACGGCAGAGACAAGGAGGCGGTCCACCGCAAGGTCGAGGAGCTCAATTGGAAGAAGGTCCTCTTGCACGGTGTTGGCGGCTGGGCCGGGAGGTACTCCACGCCCAGCAAGAAGTTCGACGGGGGCTTCTTCCTGTAGGTAGACCGCAACACCCATTGCACTACTCTCACTGACTGGTCTACAGCCTCCGCCTCGTCACCTCCGTGTTGTTCTTACATTCCTACGTCCCAAACCTCTCCCCCACTTCCATCTCGATTCTCCTCCGCGCGTACTTCAGCACCTCCCTCGCACTGTACATCGCGCGCGGCCGCCCCGCCCTCCCCATCCGCAACTTCTACGCATCTGCTGCCAACCCACCCGCACGTGCCCGGCCCCGCGCCCACACCACACAAAGACGCGCTCTCCGCGGAGCCGACGACGAGCGCATGGTTCCAGATCCTGCAGAGCACACTCGCGCACAACGACGACTACCTCGCGAAGCTCCAGCATTCCCTAGCGCACTTCGCCAGCCTCTACGGCGCGACGCCGGCGGGTCTCGCTGATGCGACCAACGAGGATCGCGACCCTCGCGTCTGCACTCAACGCGAGGATGGAGAAGACCTCGGCGACGCGTCGTGAGAGCAACAAGGCTGTCGCAATTCCGGGTCCCAAGGGTAAGGAGAAATTTCGGAGGCCTCTACGCCTACTCAGGCACTTCCCTCGAGTGCAGCGGCGTCCAGAACGTCTCCGGCGCGCCGCGCACCTCGCGCCATAAGCGCGGATGTGGTCAGTTCCGCGCCCCTATCCCGCTCGAGGACATAAGTCTGCGCACGGGCCCCACCTACATGTGCTCTGACGGGTAGACGTACATTATGATATGTAGTAGTCTTAATACATTGCGTTTGTGCCGATTTATCTGTAGGAGGGGGTTCCTGATGAAATTTGTGATATCTGCTTTCTAACGTACTGTGCTACCTGATACTTTCTGGCACTATCTGAAACCAACTGGTGGGTTGTAATATCTGGAGTGCCCTGACAGGCTCTGACGCTCTGAAGGCCAGCTCTCAGATGTACATACCGTCAGAGATTGCACAGTTTCCTGATGTACTTGGAATATAAATGCTCGGTACTCACCGCTGGCTTCGCACGTCGTTCCACTACCACCGGCAGACACACTTTGGGGAGTGTTGGAGCTGGACATGGCAGCGACTTGAGAAGAGAAGACGGCACCTGACATACCGAGTGCTATGTTTTGCGTCATGTGAGTTGTGTGGCGGCGGGCGCTTCCTGCGGTACGAACCTCCGTTCGGCCACAGTGAGCAGTATTGCATTCACACGGTAATATCAGTGGTTGCACCCCGGTATCCGCATTGATGTCGCGACGTTGTATTGCGCATGCGCAGAGTCCTGCGCCAATGCACCTATTTATACAAGTGGCAATATGCGCAGTAGTATGTACTATGCGGTGCGCATCCTTGGATTGTTGTTCCGAGCCTGAGGAACATTGATTGATATGGCAGATCCATGAATGCATGGACGCGCAAGCTCACCATGAACGAGCAGGGATCATCACCGGCATGATCAGTGCAACGTGCGCAGATCACCTCATGTGCGCGCACCGCGCAGTAGGTTGCGTTTGACGCCTGACATTGTATACATCGTTCGCTCGCACGACGCTATGCTAACCGTGAGTTTGGACGCGTCTGTCATGGGACATCACCACGCACCACGACCGTCACTTCCCGTCGCATGCGACTCTCTGCTGCGCATGTGGCGTGTCAATGCAACCGGTCAATATCATAGCTGACATCAAGTTACCGGTGTGTTGCGGCAGGTTTATCGCAGTCATCGGAGTCGAACAATGAGTACAAGTGCCGCCGGCCACTGCAGCATATCTGATAGATCAGATGCGGGAACGTGCGCGGGGCGCCACGCATATCCATACATAGACGCACATGATCTTGATTTGGATTCCACAAGAAGAAGTATGTACTCTACTAGTAAGACCATACGCGAAGTCTCGAACGTGCCTCCTGACGTGCGCGCTGCTCTCTGAGCCGTTGTAACAAGCGCCTGTAACTTCCATCGTATGCGTATAGCATGAGCGTCATTGTTTTGACCGCTCTCCAACTATAGTAAATCTCAAGATACTCCGTCTTATCGCTCTCGTAGAGCGGCGAGAGCGGATTGGAAAGACGCGGGTATACTGTGTGGTGAAAGTGTTCATAAGCGTGCGCATGGCGCGCGCGCTGGGCTTCCCATGCGTGTAAAACCAATTGCAGATTGGCCATGAAGTGGTGGCTGAGGTAGTAGGCTGGTTCACTCTTGACGCGCTGCCACATGCGTGCCCTCGATGGTTGCTGCCCAAGCACACCTGGTCGGTGCTATGTTCATTGAGAAATGCGATGCTCACCACGGTCACGGTACACAGTATCTGGACGCCCAAGTCAACGCATTGGGAGCAGCTCATAGAGCCCGGAAGCACATCACAGCGAGCATGCTGAAGACATGTGCAAACTGAGCATTTCTCGTGAGCCGTAATGTACTGCCACCAAACATATGTCAGTAGGCACAGCGGCGGAAACAGTTATGTAGAGAGGACGAGTTCGCACGCTGGAAATCGACACCGGTTCCGGTGCCTAACACTACCCTTCTACCCCGGGGGCCCCGAGAGGCCGAAATCCTCGGAGATACCGCATTCGGTAACTTACTTACCGAATGCGGTAAGTTGTGACTCGCGCGAGCGTCCAAGCGCCAGCCCGCGGACCTGTGGCTGCAGCCACCCAGCCCGCCGGGCTCAGCCACCCAGCCCGCCGACCTCTCCCTCTCAGCCACCCAGCCCGCCGCCCCTCTCGCGTATCCGTCGCACGCCCGCCGCCCTCGACGCTCCACAAGATCGCCCGCGCAGTCACCGAGCGCACGCGCGTGCGCGTTGGCACGTGATGGGCCGCGCGTCGCGACACGCTCAGCCGCCCAGCTCCTCGTCCTCCCCTCGCCTCCTCCTCTCCCTCTCGCTTTGCTCGCACCCTCCGACGACCACCGCATCACCCGCAACACGACGCACCGGCCCGTTCGCAAGAAACGGGCCGTGACGTGACACTCGCGACGCGCAAGAGCGTGCGCGTCGAAGGGCCGGCGCCATCGCGCCTTTGAGCGGCCGCAAACAGCTCCAGCGACGCAAAAACAGCGTCGCTGGATCTGGCACACACCGCCGCAGGACGCGGCGAGCCCAGGTGAGTGGCTGCCGCCGCTCAGACTCACCCACCCCCTCTCGAACACCGCCACCCCCTCTCGAAGGCCACCCGCCCGCGCAAACACGCCACGCCCACGCCGGTATACAAGAAACGAGCCCCGCACGGCCGGCTCAGGACGTGCCGCACCCACGCGCCTGCCTCAGCCATCCAGCCGTCCGTTCCTCCACCCACCCCGCCAACCCACAACCCACCGACCAACACTCCTGCCATCACAGGCTCGCCGCCCTCCGCCCTCCACAACGCCGCCCGCGACCTCAACATACGCGCGGCCGGGCCCGTCAGCGCCAGACGCGCGCTGACGTGGCCCGCTCGAAGGCGCCTAGTCGGTGCCGCCGTCTCACCCTCTCACCACCGTCCTTCACCCCCCTCACCCCTCTTTTCCGCCACACCCCATCTCTCTCGACCGCCTCGCGCCGCCCACCCCATGTCGACGATACCCCCCGCCGGCCAGACCGGCTGCGTAACGCACGCAGCACGAGCGCCAGGCCACCCGCCCGCCAGCCGACGCTCCTCCCCCTCCTCATCCCCCTCCGCGACTCGTTCCGAAGACCCCCGGCCCACGACAATGACCCCCGCGAGTCCGTCATCGATAGACGGGCTCGTGGCGTGACATACACGACGCGCCACCGCGTCGTTCGTCGGGCCGCCGCGCTTCGCAAGACCGCGCCTTGGAAGGCAACGACCGGCTCCAGTGATGCGACAAATGCATCGCTGGAGCCACGGGGAGGGTATGATGGGACTCAGGGAGAGGGGACGCGGCCACGAGGGCCACCAAGGAGGTAAGTACCACCCCCTCTCCGCGCCCTCCCCCCCTTTTGCGAGCACACCCCCACCGTCAATAGGCAGGCGGCGCGCTCACGCACGCGCCGGCTCGCCAGCGCCACCCCGCCGTTCGGCAATCGGCACGACGCACGTCGTTGGCCTGCCCGACCACCTGCCGCCTGCCCGCCCTGACCTCGACATGCCGCGCCACCGCCCGCTCTTCCCCGCCGTCAGCTCCCCGCCCTCGCTGCCCCTTGCCATCGCAGACCCCTCCGCGCCGCCCGTCGTACCCTCGACGACAAGCCCGCGCATCAACAAGGCACGGGCCGCTCCGTTCGTTTCGGCTTACCCACCCTCTCCCAGCCGTTCTCCCCCCTCTCTCCTCGCGTGGCAGCCCGGCCGCGACGCCTTCAAGAGCACAACATGCCCCGTCGGCAAAGGACGGGCCACGCGAAGTGACCATCGCAAGCCACCGCCCGCCGTCTCCCACCATTCCGTCGCCCGCCACCCTCGCCTCCCTGTCTCACCTCCCGTCCTCAACGACACGCACCGCGACCCCGTCGTCAAGAGACGGCCTTAGAAAATGGGACGTGGGATGCACAATCGCGTCCCCGTCGACTCGCGCCCAAAGACCGCGCATCAAGCGGCTCCAGCGATGCTGCAAGAGCGTCGCTGGAGCCATGGAGAGCGGAGGGGAGCGGCCAGGCAGAGAGCCAGTGGCAGGCGGGGCTGTCCACACCAGTGAGTGCCCGCCACCGCCGTCACTGACCTTGGCCACCCCACGAGGAGCCACCCGGCACGCATGTGCGCGCTCACTGCCCACCCGACGCTCACGACCGCGATGTCCCACCAGCCCCCCGCCATCCCGGTTAGAGAGCGACGGGCGATCCGCCTAGTCCGCACGCGACCAACACCCCCACGACGAGAACGAGCCCGACGCACACCACCGCGCCAAGCACGCCTCCGACAGAAGGCACGCTCGACGCGTACGAACACGCCGAGACCAACACGCCAACCCTCCGAGCAACAGCCCGCCGCACGGGCGCAGTGAGCGACAGCCCGCCGCGCCCATATGCAACGAGCAGCAGCACGGTAAGCCAACGCGCGGGATTCCATGTCGAGCGAGTGGGACATGAACCCCACCGTACGTAGAGTAGCAGCCCCATGTAAGTAGAATAGAAAACAATACATACCTCTGCGAAGTACGCGCAGCCGCCCGCCCGCCATGTTCAGCCACCCAGCGGGCTTCAGCCACTCGTCCCGCCGGACTCAGCCACAGCCCTCAACCTCAACCTCAGCCTCTCAGCCACCCACCTCTTGTCCTCCCGTCGCACGCCCGGCACCCTAGACACCTGGACACATCGCCCGCGGACTCACCAAGCGCACGCGCGTGTCGTGGCACGTGGCGGGCCGCGCGTCCTACCCCTGCGACGCGCAAGCCCATCGCCATACGCGCCCGCCTCCCACTCGCTTCCTACCTCCTTCCTCCCACTATCCTACCACCACCGCGGACGCGACACCATGCCCCGCGGGCCCGTCCACAAGTGACGGGCTCGTGACGTGGCACGCAGCACGCGCAAACGCGTCTGCATCGACCAGTGAGCCGCGCGTCTCAAGAGCGCGCGCCCCATTGCGATCGACGGGCTCCAGCGACGCTGCAACAGTCGCTGGAGCTGCGAGGAGGGTGTCAGGGAAGGAGAGGAAGAGCGCAGAACGCCCAGCACGGCCCACAGCTAGGTAAGTGGCCGCCCGTCGTCGTTTTCGGCTCACCCACCATCTCCCGCCACCGTCCTCGCCTCCCATCCCTCGCGCATCACCCTCCACACCTACGACAGCACCCACAGCTGTGCCATACCCATCCCCGTCGTGCATTGCGGCACGCGGCTCACCTCCGCCTCCGCCCTCTCCCTCCACCGTCTCCTACCTTCCATACCCCGCCGTCCTCGCCTCCTCAGTCGACCGCCCGACCAGGCCAGCACCTCCGCGAGCCCGTCCGCCACAGACGGGCCGCTCAAAGCGATTGAAACGGCGCGCCAGGGCGTCCGAATCAACCGCGAACCCGCGCGTCCGAACAGCCCACTTCAAGTGCCCGCGAGTGGCTCCAGCGACGCAACAATTGCGTCGTTGGAGCCAGGGAGTACCATAGGGAAGGTATGGTGAGTCGCACCGTCCCCTCGAGCCCGACGAGGAGCAACCGCACCAACATACGCAGGACGAGCGCACGCACGACGAACACACGCGCGACGAACGCACGCACGAAGAGCGAACGCACGACGAGTGCACGCACGGTGGCCCCCCGCCAGTCGGACGCGAGACCGACGACAGCAGGCCCGCCGCCACGAGCCCGGAGAGCCCCAGCCCGGCGAGTACCAGCCCATGTGCACCGAAGACACCGCCCCCATCCTCGAGCAACAGCTCGCGGCACAGGCGTGCCGAACAAGAGCCCGACTCGCCCAGGTGTAACTAGCAAGAGCCCGATAGGCTAACGCCTGACGAGTGCACGGCCGACGAACGGAAGACCGACGAGGCTGCGCATGACGACCGCACGTACGTCGATTGTACGCCCTAACAGCCGAGTAGACGCGACGACCTCGCGACATGCAAGAGTGCATCCAGGCCACCCGGGTGAGCAGGAGCTCGCCGCGCACGGGCAACGCATGCCCCGACTCGACGCGCGCAAGCCCGCCCAGCATGAGTGAGGCGAGCATCAGCCCGCCGACCACCCACGCACTCAGCAAGTCACCGACGCGCTCGAACGCGTAGAGGGCTCGACCGATGAGCCTCACGCCGACGCGTGTGGGTGTGCGAACCCACGGCCTGTCGTCGGCGGGCACGGTGGTCTGCCCCGCTGGCCGTCGTGTCGCCGTTCGCGAGCTCTCGCCTTCCGTCCGTCCCGCTGTCTGTCCCGCTCTCCGTCCTATCGTCTGTCCTGCTGTCTGTCACGCTGTCCATGAGCCCTGTATGTAGTGTACAATAGGAGCTGTGGTAGTACAATCAATATATGTTTTGAGCTTCCACATGCTGTCTTGCTCGCTCTTGTGCTCGGTCAACACACAGGAAGGTTATTATGAGTGTGTATGGCATTATAAAGGAGTATAACAAGGCACAGATATTAGAGATGGGCTAATGAGTGGGGAGCATAGGGAATGAGTGGGCATGTGTGTATGGTGCACGGTATGTACAGTATGAGGAGATTAGCTAGCCCTAATGTAACACAGACAGGGAATGAGGCTAGTCTTCATCAGAGGTTGGGAGTGAACTGAGATCTGAACCACTGAAATCCTCGGCCACTTCCTTACCCTTCCCCTTATCTGCAGCCTTCAAAGCAACACGATCTGCAGCCTTCACCTTCTTCTGAGCCTCCTTCTCAACCTTGCGCCTATGCTTCTTTGCCGCGCGTGCCTTCCGTTTCTCTTCATCAGTCCGTGCCGGTCCTTTCTCTCGAGTCGTCTCGCGCATCAGCCGGATGCTCTTCTCAATCTTCGTGATCTGCCAACCGGTCAGGCTGCGGTCAAGTGTGAGTCGATCCTTGTCGATAACAACTGCGCCGCCCTCAGTCTTCTGATAGTGCTTGCGTGCTCCCATAGTCAGGCATTCCCAGTGAGTAAAGGTCTTTTTCTCTGGGACAGACCCCTGGTTGATCAATCAGTATATGGTACAGAAGGGACAAACAAGTAGCACTCACATCTTTCCGCCTGATTCCCGGGCGGGGACGCACAAGAACAACGTCGTTGGCATCGAACGTTCTCCTCGCTTCGCACATAAGTACATAGGACACATGTCAAATTGAAGACTCACAACGATGGCACTGAACAGCCTCACACTTTTCAGTTGTCGGCCCTTCAGTAGTCCATGAGAGCACAGTCGAAGCCTGACTCGAGATCGCATGAGGCACCGCATTGTGGACATGGACTTTGCGGCGTGCTTCGAGATCTGCTAGGGACGACCCAGCCTTGTTAGACTCAGCTGCAGCAGCCATCCCCGCCGTATGGTCTCGAGCATGAGCCTCAGCGTTCTTATTCTAAAGACAAATTCAGCTGATGTAGACCATGTACAAAAGCACACGTACAAAACGACCCTTCTTCCTCAGTCTTTCACGACTGAATTCTTCCGGCTGGTGCAACATGAGCTAAGCATGAACAGGGCTCAACAGAATAACACATACCGTGACAGACCGCTCTCGCCGCATCACCGCTGCTGGAAACGGTGCACGTTCCAGTTCACGTGTCGGAGCAGGCGTCGAAGCAGGTGTCGGAGCAGGTGTCGAAGCAGGCGTCGGAGCAGGCGTCGGAACAGGCGTCGGAGCAGGCGTCGGAACAGGCGTGGGAGTCCACTCAGGTGTTGCACGTCGTGTACGCTTCGATGTTCTTGGCGCAGGGTCGGGCAGTGGCGTCGAAGGGCCAGGCGGCTGTGTCAATGCGTCGGGCGGCAGCGTCGAAGCGTCGGGCGGCAGCGTCGAAGCGTCGGGCGGCAGCGTCGAAGCGTCGGGCGGCGCCATCAAAGTGTCGGGCGGCACCGTTGAAGCGTCGGGCGGCGGTGTCGAAGTCCGTGGACACTTGGACACTCGTGGTGGACCAACAGATCCAGCCTGCGGAACAGCCCGCTGGGTTGTTATCAAACCCGGTGACCCCTACAAAAATACGAGTCATTACGTCTCCATTCAACAGACGGAAACCAATGCTTACGTCCTCCTCCGGTAACGACGCCCCTGCAGCAAGCGGAGATCCATTGTTGTTGAATGCTCCTTGCCAAACGTCACCCTCACCTATGTTGACAGCCAAAGGCTGGCCTGACTTGTCCAGAACGGCACGCTTATGTCGAGGTTGTACTCGAAACGACGTGTCAGTTGGGACTTGGGACAGAGTAAGTAAACAGACAATGAACAGAACAAGGATCTACTCACCATCCGTAGGCTGATTATCCGTAGGCTGATCACCCGTAGGCTTAGGGTTTGATGGTACCGGGTTAGCAGTACTAGCCATGCTGTACCGGCTTGTGAGCCACGAAAAACCCGAAATTATCACAGATACTCACCTGGAATCGAAGCAGCAATTTTCTAAGCACCAAACGCCCGAAGAAAGCAGAGAACGCGTGCAAAAACGGCGCGCGAGAGGTGGGCGAAAGGTCGAGGAATAATCGCGCTGGCGCTGAGCGCGCGCGTCGGCACTTGCCGGGCGGGCGCTCAACCCCGAACGCGCGTCGCCTTCTGCCAAGTTCACTCCTCCTCCTACCCTCCCTCTCCACCGCCCCGCCGCCGCACTCTTGCCCGCCACTCCCGCGCGCTCTACACACCCCCTGCGACGTCGACAACACCGAGGCCGCCGCCACACGCGCCCCCGTCAGGAAGAGACGGGCCGCGCGTCGCCATCCGCGCGACCCGTCACGCCCCTCTCGCCTTCCTCCTTCCAGACTCCGCCTCCCTCGCACCAGCAGCCGCCGCTCCCACCTCTACAACACGCCCCGCGAGCGCGTCGACTGGCGACCGCCTCGTGACGTGGCAAGCACGACGCGCAAATGCGTCGTCGTCGGTCGGCCGGCCGCGCGTTCGAACGTCGCCCGTCAACCGGCGATCGACATGCTCCAGCGATGCACTAAGTGCGTCGCTGGAGCCTCGGAGGGGCGCATCGAGGGGAGCATGGTGGTTGGAGCCGCGAGCAAGGTACGCTGCCGCTGCCCGTCCGTTTCGGCTCACTCACCAGCCCCCACCGCCCGCCGTTCATCGCCCACCGCGTGCCCGCTCTGGCGTCTGTCCCGCGACCTCACCAATGCCCAACGCGGCCCCGTCGTCATTCCATGGCCCCGCACCCGAGAAACCCCGCCTCCCAGCGATCGAAGCGACGCGGGAAGTGCGACGGCGAGCCGCCACCCACCAGTGCCCACCCCCATTGCGCCGCCGCCCTCGTGCCGTCGTACCACCACCCGGCCCTCAACCACCCGCCACACGAGCCCGTCGTCAAGCGACGGGCTCAGAACGTGGCCCATGGGACGCGCAATCGCGTCCCTTCATCGCTGCTCGGACGTGCATGTGAAGATCGCGCGTCGGGCGCCCACGGGGAGGGAAGTGCAGCGGCAAGGGAAGGAAAGGGGTAGTAGCAGGGACGGCAGCACGGACGGCTGTCTACATAGGTAAGTCCACCGCCCCCTCTTCGAACACAGCCCTCGGGCACCTGCTGCCCGACGTGCACGGGCGAGACACGCACTCACCTGCCCCACCAGCCCAGCCACACCGCTACGGGCAGGGGCTCGACGAGCGTGGGCTCGACGAGCGTGGGCTCGACGAGCGTGGGCTCGACGAGCGTGGGCTCGACGCGCACGAGCTTGACGAACCCCAGCCCATGCCGACCCGCCCGACGCGCGCAAGCACGCGGAGCAGCAGCCCGCCGTACGGGCGCATCAGGCGAGAGCTTAGGTTAGGTTAGGTTAGGTAGGTTAGGTTAGGTTAGTAGGTTAGGTTAGGTAGGTTAGGTTAGGTTAGGTTAGGTTAGGTTAGGTTAGGTAGGTTAGGTTAGGTTAGGTTAGGTTCGGT